CAACCTCCAACTCCTGGGCTTAGGCGATTCTCTTGCCTCAGTCTCCTGGCCCACCACAACACCTGGCTATTTTTTGTTGCAGTTCAGCTGGGGCCGGGTTTGAACCCGCCTACTCACTGAGCCACAGGCGCTGCCCTATTTATCATTCTTGAAAAGATAAAATTACAGACATAGAGCTGGGCATGATGGCCCACACCTATAATCCTAGCACTTTGGGAAGCCAAGCTGGGAGCATCCCTTAAGCTCAGGAGTTTGAGAGTAGCCTGAGCAAGAGTGAGACCTCGTCTCTACAAAAAATACAAAAATCAGCTGGGTGTGTTGGTGTGCACCTGTAGTCCCAGCTACTCAGGAGGATGAAGCAAGGAGGATCACTTTAGCCCCAGGATTTTGAGGTTGCAGTGAGCTATAATCATTCCACTGAACTCATGTCAGGCAGAAAAAGTGAGACTCTGCCTCTAAAACAAAAAGAAAAAAGAAACAAATTATGGAGATAGATAACAGAGTAGATTAGAGAGGGGGTGATGGAAGGGAAGTTGGCTGTGGCTGTAAACAGAAAGCACAAGAACAGCTTTATGGAGATGGAATAGTTTGGTATCTTGATGGCAGTGGTGGTTGTGGCATAAAATTACATAGAACTATTATAGAAACATACATTATATCTATATCAACTTCCTGATTTTGCTATTGTACTGTAGTTAGGTAAGATATAACCACTGGGAGAGCCTCAGTGAGTAAAGGGCACATGGACTCTCTATTATGTTCACAACTTCCTGAAGACTCTCTAATTATTTCAAGTTTTTAAAAAAGAAGATATGATTTACCCTTGAGCAACATTGTTTTAAACTACCTGCATCTACTTATACTTGGATTTTCCACCTCTACCATCCCTGAGACAACAAAACCAATCCCTCCTCTTCCTCCTCAGCCTACTCAATGTGAAGATAATAAAGATGAAAACCCTTATGATGAGCCACTTCCACTTAATGAATAGTAAATATATTTTCTCTTTCTCATGATTTTCTTTTCTTCTTTGGGTTTTTTTTTTTTTTTTGGCAGTTTTTGGCAAGGCTGGGTTTGAACCCACCACCTCTGGCATAGGAGCTGGCACCTTACTCCTTTGAGCCACAGGCACCCCCATCTCATGATTTTCTTAGTAACTTTTCTTTTCTCTAGCTTGCTTTATTGCAAGACTACAGTATACCATACTGTAACACATAAAATATGCATTAATGGACTATGCTATTGATAAGGCTTCAGGTCAATATTTGGCTAATTAGTAGTTAAGTTTTGGGAGAGTTGAAAATTATATGTGACGTTTTTACTGTGTGGGGGGATGGTATGCCTAAACCTTGTATTTTTCAAGGGTCATGTATAATTGGGTATATTTATAGGGTGTTTGCCAGTTGGTCTCAAAATAGCTCTGATGCCTTTCCCATCTCCTGGGCCCTCTTCTGAGCCCTGGAGAAATCACATGCTCAAGTCTATCATAATCCCAGTCTCAAGGTTTATACTATCCTTAGCTCCATTCATAGTTTTTGTGTTCAGAGTGAAAAAAGGAAAGTAAAAAATGTACTTACCACACAAAAAATAGTTTCAACATAACAGCAAGTATCACCAGAAATATGTGAAACAGGGTGTTTTATCCCTGAAAAGAACAGATACAATTAATATATATGAGTCCCCTGAAGTTCAGAGAAAAGTTGAGAGCAGGGTTTCTCAACCTCAACACTGTTAAAAATTGGGAGTAGAGCATGGAGAGTCAAACAAGATGGCAGGCTAGAGACATCTCCTTACCAGTTACTTGTGAGATGGGAGAAAGGACTCCAGCCACCTATGGCTGGGGGAACCTACCCAGCAACATCACTCCAGGGAATAGTGAAGCAGGAGAAGACTTCAGGAGCCAACAAAAATGTCTAGAGCTGAGGAAGACCAGCATAGAAGACAAGTACCTGGGTATGGGCAGAGGCCAGGTGGCTGGCCCTCCTACAGAGGACTAGAGATAGGAAAGGGGTATCCTGAAGTTTTATGATTTTGGACTGAGCTGCTCAGTGGAGATGCCTTGTAAGGGCTTAAATGAGTGAGTAAACTCTAACAACATCTGGCAGCTGGGATTAAATACCAGGGGCAAGGGTTGGGGGAGAATTTCTCACCAGCTTGGCTACTAGTAGGACTCCACTATTCTGGGAAGGCAGAGCAGGAGGAACAGTATGCAGAGTCCTACTGCATGGCTGGCTCTGGCATGTCTGCTGAATTCAGGCAACCATCCTTGGGGTAAGCTGAACAGCTCCCGCATCCCTAGGAAGGCCACTTTGTTGTCAGGGGTCACTATTTGACATACCTCCTAAGAAATCTGGCAAGAGAGGCTCGGCACTGTGGCTCAAGTGGCTAAGGCGCCAGCCACATACACCTAAGATGGCAGGTTCGAATCCAGCCCAGGCCCGCCAAACAACAATGAGGGCTGCAACCAAAAAATAGCCGGGCGTTGTGGCGGGCGCCTGTGGTCCCAGCTACTTGGGAGGCTGAGGCAGGAGACTCACTTGAG